GATCCAGTCGGTGTTTGTCGAGTGCCAGTCTCTTGCCCCCGCGCTCTGGAATGTGACGATCGTGTCGCCGCTGGGGAGCCTTCGGGCTGCAACTGCTCCCTTCTTGATAGACACCCGGTTGACGGCCTGGATGGTTTCTTGTGGGGTGCGTTTGGCGAGATCGGCTGGCATTCCTCTGCCTTTGACTAGGATCTCCTTGTTTATGCGGGTCGGCACTATCTTTGTTAGGGTGTTGGGCACCGACTGGTGGTGGTGTCGAGGGTTCGCGGTGGCGTGGTTGTCCAGGCAACTATGGGTGGACCGGGTAGCTTGTTGGTATGTGCGTTGGCGGAAGAGATTTTCAGGGTGGCTGCGCGCCCGCGATTGCCTCTCTTTCCACACCTGCTGCAGCCGCGCTGCGGATCGCGCCCCGGTGCAGGTGATGTGGTTAGATAGCGTTTTGCAAGGGCTTTTAATCAACACTGGTTCTGAGGATTTTGGCCGCCGATTCGTTTCCCCATCATTTACCTTCTTTATTTTCATATAGTAACATTTAATATCTTTTTTTTTCTAAATAAAAAAAAAAAAAAAGGAAGTAGAACAACGGTGTGAGAGACAAGTGGAATCAAGGCGAGGCACAGGGGCACTGCAAGTGCCGACTCAGTTCTGCTAATCGTAAGATGCGGAGAAAGGAGGAGAAGCTGGAAGAGCTGCCACGTGCACTCCGACGGCAGGCGCCGTCACAAACCGACTATGTAGCAGTGTTAGAAATCTCTACAGTGCCTGGGAGGAACGTACGAGGAACGAGTACTTCCGGAAGGTTCCTTAAGTGAGAAAAGCCATGGTATGCCTGGGAGGAACGTATGCCTGGAGGAACGTACGAGGAATGAGTAAAGGTTAAACGCCGCGGGTAGTAAGACTGTTAACGACCGGAGCTTGTTCAGGGTCCAGTGCCTTGTGAGCCCCAGGGCTACATCGACGTACGTTGCATAACGGCCAAGTTCGAGCTGCATCTGTCCGGGGCCGACCCCTTCTGGAGATCTTTCGCATCCGTGAACGGGCAACCGTGGGCTCCCGTGTGGCTCGCCGGCATGCGCAGAAGACAGATTCGTTTGCCTGCCCTGGATCTTCGCCGTGACGCTGCTGTCCTCTTTCTTCTGGACCTTCAATACCGCGTCGATCTCCTCCCGACTGGGCAGTCCCATGCCGCGGAAAGGCGAGTCTTGGAGGTCCTGTAACATGGTATAGAAATGGCGACCACGCTGGGCAGCATTGTTGTCATCCTGGCTTGGGTCAACTGCCCTCGCCTCTTCGTCCAAGCGCCTCAGGGCCGAGGTCGCTGTCATATCCCTGATCTCGCTGCCTTGAACCGTTGAAAGGACATCCAAGAAAGCTTCGTAATGGTCCTGTGGATTAATACCCCCGACGCTCTCCCCGATACCGTCATCGTCCTCCACCGAGAGTTTTATGTGTGGCTGAAATGCGATAGTTAGCTGAGACCAAGCTCGCTATCCACAGCGACTTTAAGCATAATGTGAACCTACTCCCATTGACCTCAGCTTTGGATCTCCTACGAACACGGCCAGTAGATGCTTCTCATACTGAAGTTTCCGGTTTAGCCCGCGTACAAACTGATTCCGATTTTGATGACGAGGGCTTCTTGCACGACAGGTATCGACAAAAGATTGTGGCTGTTCTGCAGATTTCCCCATTTCCACCCAGGTAGTTAACTGAGAATCTAGAACTCAACACGCATCGCAACGAGCTTCTACTCCCGACTAGTCATTTGATCGACCGGTTCAGGAACCATACAACGAGGCTTCTTCGCTAGGTTGCCTGGATTCCAGAGCTGGAGCACTCCAAAGACAATGTAATAGCGCCCCTTTTCTCAAGCAGTTTAACGACCTCTTTATGGCCTGTCAATGAGGCGGCCTGGAGAGCGTTGCTGTATATGCCGCCCTGCGCGTTGACGTCCGCTCCCTTGTCCAAGAGAAGTATAGCGATCTCTTGATGGCCTTCGAATAAGGCGGCCTGGAGAGCGTTGCCGTATATGCCGCCCTGCGCGTTGACGTCCGCTCCTTTGTCCAAGAGCAGTGTGACGACCTCTTTATTGCCTCCCTCTGAGGCGGCTTGGAGAGCGTTGCCGTGTTCGCCGCCCTGCGCGTTGACGTCTGCTCCCTTGTCCAAGAGCAGTGTGACGACCTCTTTATTGCCTCCCTCTGAGGCGGCCTGGAGAGCGTTGCCGTACCTGCCGCCCTGCGCGTTGACGTCCGCTCCCTTGTCCAAGAGCAGTTTGACAATCTCTTGATGGCATCTCGATGAGGCGGCTTGGAGAGCGTTGCTATATTGGCCGCCCTGCGCGTTGACGTCTGCTCCCTTGTCCAAGAGCAGTTTGACAATCTCTTGATGGCCTTCCCATGAGGCGGCCTGGAGAGCGTTGCCGCGGTAGCCGCCCTGCGCGTTGACGTCCGCTCCCTTGTCCAAGAGCAGTATGACGACCTCTTTATGGCCTCTCGATGAGGCGGCATAGAGAGCGTTGCCGCGGTAGCCGCCCTGCGCGTTGACGTCCGCTCCCTTGTCCAAGAGCAGTATGACGACCTCTTTATGGCCTCTCGATGAGGCGGCATAGAGAGCGTTGCCATACCTGCCGCCCTGCGCGTTGTCGTCCGCTCCCTTGTCCAAGAGAAGTATAGCGATCTCTTGATGGCCTTCGGATAAGGCGGCCTGGAGAGCGTTGCCGTGGTAGCCGCCCTGCGCGTTGACGTCTGCTCCCTTGTCCAAGAGCAGTTTGACAATCTCTTGATGGCCTCTCGATGAGGCGGCTTGGAGAGCGTTGCCGTATTCGCCGCCCTGCGCGTTGACGTCTGCTCCCTTGTCCAACAGCAGTTTGACAATCTCTTGATGGCCTTCCCATGAGGCGGCCTGGAGAGCGTTGCCGTGGTAGCCGCCCTGCGCGTTGACGTCTGCTCCCTTGTCCAAGAGCAGTTTGACAATCTCTTGATGGCCTTCCCATGAGGCGGCCTGGAGAGCGTTGCCGTGGTAGCCGCCCTGCGCGTTGACGTCTGCTCCCTTGTCCAAGAGCAGTTTGACAATCTCTTGATGGCCTCTCGATGAGGCGGCCTGGAGAGCGTTGCCGTGGTAGCCGCCCTGCGCGTTGACGTCTGCTCCCTTGTCCAAGAGCAGTTTGACAATCTCTTGATGGCCTTCCCATGAGGCGGCCAGGAGAGCATTGCCGTTGGGGTTGCCCTGCGCGTTGACGTCTGCTCCCTTGTCCAAGAGCAGTTTGACAATCTCTTGATGGCCTCTCGATGAGGCGGCTTGGAGAGCGTTGCCGCGGTAGCCGCCCTGCGCGTTGACGTCTGCTCCCTTGTCCAACAGCAGTTTGACAATCTCTTGATAGCCTCTCAATGAGGCGGCATAGAGAGCGTTGCGATACCTGCCATCCTGCGCGTTGACGTCTGCTCCCTTGTCCAACAGCAGTTTGACAATCTCTTGATGGTCTTTCAATGAGGCGGCATAGAGAGCGTTGCTATATCGGCCGCCCTGCGCGTTGACGTCTGCTCCCTTATCCAAGAGCAGTTTGACAATCTCTTGATGGCCTTCCCATGAGGCGGTCTGGAGAGCGTTGCCATATGGGCGGCCCTGCGCGTTGACGTCTGCTCCCTTATCCAAGAGCAGTTTGACAATCTCTTGACAGCCTCTCGATGAGGCGGCATAGAGAGCGTTGCTATATCGGCCGCCCTGCGCGTTGACGTCTGCTCCCTTATCCAAGAGCAGTTTGACAATCTTTTGATGGCCTTCCCATGAGGCGGCTTGGAGAGCGTTGCCGTATTCGCCGCCCTGCGCGTTGACGTCTGCTCCCTTGTCCAACAGCAGTTTGACAATCTCTTGATGGTCTTTCAATGAGGCGGCATAGAGAGCGTTGCTATATCGGCCGCCCTGCGCGTTGACGTCTGCTCCCTTATCCAAGAGCAGTTTGACAATCTCTTGATGGCCTCTCGATGAGGCGGCTTGGAGAGCGTTACCGTATTCGCCGCCCTGCGCGTTGACCTCCGCTCCATTGCTGATAAGATCCCGTGCAGACGCCACGAGTCCAAAGAAACAAGCATAATAGAGCCTGGAAGCTTGTGGGGGACCTGAGCCATCGTCCCAAGGCCCATCACCCTGGCATAGTCGAGCCCACCGTTGGAACGTTGCTTCCTTTTCTAGGAACCTGACTGTCGCTTGAACTATATCTTCCGAAGCCTGAGCCAACGCAGCGTGGTCCGTCCAAAGTTTTGCAGCATATGTTGCCATCGGAAAATCCCGCTTGATCTTCTTGAAGCTACCGTTGATATCTGTAAGATACGTCAAGCATGTCTTCGTGATGGAAATGCTGGCGGTCGGGATGTCGAACTGGTTGTCTTTGAGAAGGTACTCTTTGACGGAAAAGTGGGCAAGATGTAGCTCCTTGTCGGAGTGGAGCTCCTCATCCGTGACGTGGACGACTGTCACTAAGCCGGGACAGTAGCCTAAAACGTAGGTCTCGTGAAACGGTCGACGTTTGACGTCAAACCGTGGCTTGTGTTCGATCTGTGTTGCGATTACTTCTTTAGCCTCGGCCAGCTTGAGAGGTCGCTTCGAGTGCACCAGAAACTGCAAGAGCCGTATCGCGTCTCTTTGACGGTCCGCCGGTATGTTTTGAATCATGCGTCGGTATGTTTCTTCCAGGTTCCGCGGCAAAGATGCGAGAGCTTCCTCAATAGCCACCTCATGAGGACATCGAGCCAGGCTGTCCAATTGACAGAACGCCCACCTGAACCTGAGCAGAGCGTCAGCGAACCGTCCGCATATCGATCGAAGCAGTAATATCTCACATCCCCCGGGCCCCGTCGCCGACCTTCCTCCGAATCCTCTCGAGGAGATCCTGGGACAAGTGCTTGTCCTGAAACTCACGTCGTTGTAGAAGTTGTGCAGCGACGTACGATCGGATATCGATGTCGATGGACTCCTTGTCGAGTGCCAAGCAGTTCTCTTCATCGATCAACGAGGGGATGTAGCGCAAGAACTTGGCCTCAGGCCGACTGGTACATATCAGCTGGACACCGCCCAACTCTGACCTGGACACCACGTCCTTCATCCACAGGAGAAGTTCATCTCCTGTTGTCGACTCGTCCAAGGCGTCTAGAACAACAGAACATTTCTTCTGAACTGCAAGCATCTTGTATACAACGTCCTCGAGCGTCTTCGTAGCCGGTTGGTCGCTTCCATTCTGGTGTGCTTGGAAGGAGGTGTCTAGAGGACCTGCAGAACCAGCCCCCCCTTGGTACAGTTGGAAAGCGAGCGACCGCAGCATGCCATCCAAGGTCTGCTTTGTCGTGTCGCTAAAGTCAAAGAAGAAGCTGAGGATGAGACGGTCGTTTCCCTTCTTGAGACGATCCAGCACAGTCGCACTGAGAACTGTTTTTCCAAATCCCGCGAGCCCATTCAGCCATAAATGTCGACGCAAACCCGAGTGCCACTCCTGGAAGACCGGGTTATCTAGGAGCCACACGCCTGTCCCCTCATGGCGGAGATCACTCGCGTGGTTGGCATTTGTAGACGGATCCGGGGGACAAAGCCATCGCTTAATCTTATCAGTATGAAGGTCAGACCTGATGGAATCAGTCGCAGCTTTCGTTGCAACTGTCGTCTGCTGCACGCCATCGATCTGTTGTTGAACTACTCGCAATCAGGGCGTATTCCAGGTTGAAATATTATTGAGTCCCGTGTGTTTACTAGTCTAGCCCTAGTGAACGAAATAAGAACTAACCCATACGAAGCACTTCCAGTGCTCTCTTGGTCTCGTGAACCTCCGCGACCGGCACATACGTCAGGAGCTCCTTGGCATACGCGGCGGCGGTGGCCGAGGCGTAGCGTTGCCATCGATCGTTCTTGTGGGAATCGGCGTAGTCACAGATCCCTCGGATCACAAGACAGGGAAAGTGGTTCATGAGGCCGGCTGCTTCCATCTCAAAACAGATGCAATCCTCGCCGACGTCGGCAACAATCCGATCACGCGTAGCCGCATCTTTGACAAGTGAGTTGCCGGATGCGATGGTCCCATAGTGGACATCGGGGTCGGTGGTGTCTCGAGGATCGCGTTGAACCTCACCAGCCGCGTGGCAGCCCCGACAGTCCGGCCCCGCGACGTGGCTACTTGAAGTTTTGAAGAGGCGGTCATTGTCGATGCCTTGGTAAATATAGCCAGGACTTTGCTTGGATGTCTTGCCCATCTTCGGATTCTTTTCCAGCATCTGTTGAAGGAAGCAGGGAATCTTGGAGTCCTTCCGCTCGTGATCGGCCTGGATTCTGGTAAGCGCATTAAGGAGGACGGTCGGAGGTGGCCTCAGGAAGCCTTTGCGCTCACGCCTGTCACCAGATTTGGCCTTGATCAAGTCATACTGGCAGACGCCGCCTGTGGTCCCGTCGGGCTGGCTCACGACAATGTCGCCGAGCCGGATATCGCAGTCCTCGTCTGGTCGGGCGATGCCGCCGCCTATGCCGACCAAAAGACCAACACGGATGGATGGCAGAGAGGCAAGCAGACTCGAGGCCGTGGTCGCAGCCGAGGTGGTTCCATAGACTCCAGCGGCAAGAGAGGCGATGACGATGTTGTGCTCTCCCACACGGCCCCATGTATAAACGTTTGCGTCGGTTTGGTGTCTAACAAAGCCAGTTGGGGGCGCGTGTTCCTCGTCGAGCATCGCTTCTGCAGCGGCCCGCTCGATGGGAAGAGCAGCGATCCAGGCGACCCCATAGGAGTCGGGGCTGTCGAGAGGGTTGTGGGATGTCATGGTGCGGATGAAAGCGGACGAGACCGTCAGATTGACGAGCAGAATGTTAGGATTATACGGTTGGCCTACATTGACGGAAGCTGGAATTGAGTCACCCGAGGAGAGAGAGGCGACGTGACCGACATATTGTTTTATCACACTGGGGAGCGCAGCCTTGTACAACAGTTGCCATAGAAAAACGAGAGCAAGCTGAAAAGGATCAGGCCGGGCGGGATCAGGCCGCAACAACAGGCTCTCACCAATTACACACGCCAATTACACACGCCAATTACACACACCCACATTGGGGGCCCTGATGCTGTGGGCGCTTGTATACAGCACCCTCTAGCCCGACGGATGGCATGATTGGAAGTGATCAATGCCAAGAAACTGCCTTTTGCGGCACCCATCTGTTGGAAATAACGTGAAAAGGTTACCTCATTTACGCTAGCCAGCGCAAGATATCTCTTTCTTGTTCGGGATTAATTTCGTTCAGTACGTTAACTGAGTTGTTAGCTCTTTTTTTGCAGATTTCAGCTCTGCTTTGTACCAGCTGGCTCTGTGGGCGTTGCAAGTAGAAACCCATTCTCGTCGCCAATCTGTGCTCAAAATCCCACGTCGTCACCTCATATTAACTATTCTGCCTCGACGGTTGCCCCAAAGAGCGCAAAACGCCAGGCGACCGAACTACCAGTCAGCCCTAGAGCACTGCTATGCTATAAAATTGCTGGCGTCGCTTCGTTCGTCAGTCGCGCGGCCCTTCGCTACGCTACGGGGCGCTTCCTTCCTCTCTCCCGCTCCTGGCAATTTTCCTGTCCCTCTCCGGAGGACAATCCGGGTTAGGGTTGAATACGGGAGAGACGAAGCGCCAATATCTGTCCGTCGGCCAACAACTCCATCCACTTGACCTTCTCATCACACTTATACCAATCATTTCTATTATATTCTAAGTACTCATGCCTCTACACTCTCCTCGTCGCTGCTTATAAACCCACTTAACTCCTCTGAAGGATCCACCCCCGCCACAGCATCTAACGCCTGCAGTCGCCTAGTAGCGTGATCCAATAACTTCAACCCCATGGCTCGTGATGGTGTCTCGCGATAGACCCTGCTGCGGTCGAAGGGCCGCTCAAACATCAGCCCGCCAAGTGTCTTTACTCGGGAAACGGCCACGTAGGAGAGGCCAGAAGCAAACTCTGGCGCAGAGATATCGCAGACTTTGTCCAGGGTGATGCCCTGTGACTTGTGGACAGTGATCGCATAGCTGACCAACAGCGGGAACTGCTCTCTTGAACATGAGTTGGCGCCGACCATGAAGTCCTGCCGCACTCGGAGGATGGGAACAACCGCGGTTGCAAACGCCGTCCGCCATGAGTTTGATGTCGAACCAACGCTCCTTGCAACGCAGGCATCGCTGCATCTTCTCTGCGGCAAGCGCTTCGTCGAACTCTCTTTTCGTCGCCATGTCTTCGGCTAACAGTGGCGTCTCCTGGTCGTCGCCTGTGAATCGGGGGCCGGGTTCGTCGAATTTACGTGGAGGATTCTCTTCAGGGGGGGGGTTGGTTGCGTGGGCGACCGACAGGATTGCGTTCTAGTCGAGGGCGTCCATAACGGCGTCCGCGAGACCGGGGCAAAGACGCAGACGGAGGGGAACGGCGCTTGGGAGGGCGTCCGCGGCGGGGAAGCTGTGGTGGTGTGTGCTGCAAAGCATCCGCGTCACCTTCCAAACCCTCTTCGTCAGGCGCTGGCCCGAGCAGTCGCCATATCTGGAGTATCTGTTGCAACTCGGCCGCCTTTGGGAAACATGCTAGCAAGGACGCCGTGCGTGAGGTTCTGGCGAGGTGCGGGCACGAGAGGTCGTAGTGCAGGTATTGGAGCAGGCGCAGAGCTTTCCCGGCCGATTACCTGCAATGATGCAATGCTGGCTCGGGATAACTATGGTATGCTGCGACGGTTTAGGTAAGGCAAAGAAACGAAGTCAGGACAGGGTTTACTTGAAGCTTCCGTTTGTTCCGGCATTCTAAACACTGTATAACAACCTTCCCATTACCGCGAAGGTCATGAAACTGGCCGATGTCTTTTTCGGTGCGGCATCCACGACACATCTTGCGCGCCACCGGTGCGGCGCTGTTGTCCATGATAACTGTCAACCCCGCCCATAGCGGAAGTAAAAGTGTTTCGCGACAATCGACAAACACTTCGTTCGCGAGAAATCAATTGAACGCGCAAGGTGATGAGGCACGGACCCAGGTCCCAAAACTTTGACCAATCCCCGATGGACGATAAGGCAGGCTAAGACCCGCAATTAACTTATCACTTTCCCATAGTAATTTCCAAAAGTTTGAGCATAATATTGTCCTCCGGACAGGATTACGGCCGTAGGCTAACTGCGCCGGCGCGTTCCAGGCTTCCTTTGGCGGGCCCGCGCGCAGCGGGCACGGTCCCTCTTGTGTTCAGGGTTGTGCTAGCTGTTGTGGCTGCCTTTATAAGCACGTGGCTGCAGCCACTTGCTCAGCAATGAGCTGTTGGTCAAACAACGGTTGTGTAGTGTAGCGGTTATCACTCCGGATTCTGATCACTTCAGAACATTCCGGCAACCCCGGTTCGATTCCGGGCACGACCTTTCTTTTGCATTATTTTTACGTTTGGCTTAGGTGGGGAATTGGCCGCCCACTCCTTTTTTTGGTTGTGTGGGGTTCGTCCTGTCTTTCTCAACCTCCTCTTCCAAGCCGTTGTCCCAACCTGAACTGACAAACCGACACCACAGCCTTTGTTTGACATGGGAGTGACGGACTATTGCCAAGTTTCAACCCTGACGGGAACCGGATCGCTAGACACGTGCTAAATTCGGGCAGGGCAAGGGACACAAGCTTTTTAGTCAGGAGCTTGGGGAATTCGGAAGCTCGCATGGGTGGCGCTTCTTCCCCGCAAAGAAAAAAAAGGATCGCCAAGCGTGACGTCACATAGGCCACCCCGCGATCCCCACTAACGTCATGCCGTCCCGCTTCTTTTTCACCTTTTCACCTTTCAGCTGAGGGTTGTCCAGACTGGGCCACACCTTCGATCTCGGATCCAATTCAATGGCTTGAATGGTGAATGGCTGGCAAGGGTCTCGGGCGAGGCAGGGTACACGAGTTGGTGGGAGATAACCCGGTCTTTGGGGGTCCATACGTCACTTTTCCCTGGGGTTGGAGATCATGTTGAAGAAATGAGGTAGCCCGGGAGGGATGGATTCAGAAAGCATAAAGGCTTTGATGTACGCATACCAAATTCAGTTATCATTTACTCGATTCTATACTCCAAGAAACCTTGCATACCCCGCGAATAAACAAAAAGTAAACACCTCAGATCTCCTGCGAACACCATCATGGATACCTTCAATAAGGTCACACACGCCGCCTCCAAGGCCATTTGGGGCGAGGAACAGTCTCATGAAGAGCCCGTGTCAGGCAAGCTTGGCAATGTAGCTGCCGGAGAGCCATACGATGCCGGTAACATTGGTGGTACGTTTGGTCACCAGCTCATCCAACTACATGGCACATACTTACTAGTCTCACAGAGTGAATGAAACCCCTGAAGTCCCGTCACTCGGACTGAGCAACCGAGGACCTCACTAACTAACCCCTAAAAAGAACCCAACGAAGCAGCCCTTGCATCCTCCGGGAAGAAAGACACCGAGACCCCAAACGAGCCGACAACCGCAACCCGAACCACCGGCAGAACCGTCCCCGAGGCCATGCCCAAGCCCGAGCCCGAGCCCGAAGCCGCCACCAAACCGCGCTTCGTCGAGGCCAAGGACACCCCCTCCCAAACCACAGAGGAAGCTAGCACCAGCCAGCCCGCCAACCCCTCCGGCCCCGCCGGCTCCACCCCCTCGGCCATCGGCATGCGCGACGACTCGACCAAAGCCCAGAACGACACGAGCCCTCCCCCCGAGGACCTCTCCGCATCCACAGCCCGCACCCCCACCACCACTAATACTAACACCACCACCACCACCACCGACACCCCCCCCAACATCCCCGGCACCGCAGCCACTACCACCTCCACCTCCCAACCCCACGACGAAACACGCACCACAAAGGAACACCAACCCCAGCCCTCAGACCCAGCAGACGCTCCCCGCCACCTCCGCAGTCAAGCTCGACGGCCCGGGCCCGCGCCCCCTCGAGGAAATCGCGCGCGAGCACGGCGGCGACGCATGTGCCAGAGGAGGCGGGGCTGCGGACACAGTTGGGTGGGGGCCAGTCTCAGCATCGGGAGGCGGGATAGTGGGAAGGGG